AAAAAAAGCTTCAAAACAGAAATAATGGGTATGTTGCAAACTTAGCATCACATGGTTTTAAAGTACAAACTTCAGTGGGAAATCAGATAATATTACAATTGCTCAGCATCTTCAAGAGCATTTGGACAAGACCCTTCAATTATTTATAGGAGAGGAAGAATTAAGTATCATTTGTTAAACAGAGGTTATTGTACTCATGAAAGTATAAAACAAACTTCTCTCTCAGGCCTCTGCTTGGGGTCTTTCAATAAGAGTATGGCTGTATTGTCAATTCACTGTGCGAATGATATCCTGTATTAGTGCTGAAAATCTCCTAAATATTTAAACCCTAGATATGATGCATTGTGGGGAATCTGTCATGGATCACTTAAAGAATCAAAAAAAATTACACACACATGGAGGCCATTTGGCTCATCAAGTCTGCACCCTCTCCCCCCCACCCTTGTATTTTGCTGCTGCTTGTGATACCTTGATCCAGATGCTGTGTGGTATGCATGAGTAGGATTTGTTGTTATTGTCACTGACTTTGCTTGCTCCTGGAAAAGCAATTTAATTCTACTTCTTGAGGTCTAGCAGAGATCAAGAACTCATTGGGTGCTATGAGAAAAAATCAGGTTCTCACATTCTACAACACAGCACATTGAGAATGAATCTCTATTCAAGTTATCTGAAATGTATAGTAATCCTGAAACATAATATAGAAACAATGAATCTATAAATTGAACCTTTCAGCTCTTCAAACAGTAAAATACAAATCACGATTACATTTTGTGCACATTTTACTTTTACTGAAGTACTCGATAATGTGATCAATCAAATGAATGTCCTGCAGTGCTATCCATTTTTCCTGCTGGATTGAAGGGCCAACTGAAATAGGACTTGAGGTGCTGGCATTGCTGTAGTATTTAACCCAACATACAAATCAGAACATTTGCTGAGAATGGATCACTACAATAGCACATTCTGTTATATTCACCAATGCACCTACCAAGTCTTTGAACTCATAAAGTCGAGGCTGACACTCCAAAGCAGTGCTGGGGGTGCACTGCATTGTTGGAGGTGCCATCATTTGGATGAGACATTGAAATGAGGAACTGGCTGCCCGTTCAGATAATTGTGCTATCTACCAGTGTTTTTATTTGTGTTTTATTTATTTCAAGTTTTGCATTATTTAATCTATCTCTTTTAAGAAATAAAATTGGTTCAGTTTACAAAAGCTTCTGTTAACTTTTCCAATTTGAAATCGAGCACAGGAAATATTTCAGCTGAGTAAAATCCCAACCTGTCTTGGAACCCTGGTGTCAGCCTAGCACTCTCACCTCTGAGGCAGAAAGTTGTGTGTTGAATCCCACTGTTGGTACTTTTGAACTCACCGTCTCGATTTACACTCCAATTTGGAACAGGTTAAACCCTTTTCACTAGCGAAGAGATGTTTAACAGGGGGACCTGGTACAGGGTTTCATAATTGAAAATGTAATACATTTTCATTGAATTTAAAAGGAAGCTAGACATACACATGAGGAAAAAAGTTATGGGAGTAATGAGTGGGTGGAGACTCAAGTGGATTATAAATGCTAGCACGGACGAGTTGGACCGAATGATCTGTTTCCGTGCTATAAAGTAAATGAGTGTAAACACAATGCAGTGCGTTGTTGGAGGTGCTGTCCTTCAGATGAGACATTAAACCGAGATCCCATCTGCCTGTTCAGGTGGATATTTAAGATCAGTAAGTGGTATTCGAAAAGAGAAAGAATTTCCGACCAAAAATCGCTCAGATAAAATTGGTCATTCACTCTATGGTTGTTTGTGGGACATTGCTGTGCATATTTTCACTGCTGTGTGGACCTGCAAATTACAGTCACTCTACTTGTAGTATACTAGCTGTGCCCCGTTGCATCTTCGCTTGCAACCAAAGGATCCAATATGGAATGTAGATTGACACACAGACAGACACAGTCTCTCTCTCTCTCTCTCTCTCTCTCTCTCTCTCTCAGTCTCCCTCTCTCCTACCCTCCTCTCTGTCTCCTCTTTCTCTGTCTCTCTCTTAGTCTCTCTCACTAACTCAGTCTCATTCAGTCTCTCTCTCCTGACCCAACTGTCCAGCGCCTTGGGACGTCCTCCCGAAGTGAAAGGCGCTCTATAAATGAAATCTTGTTGTTGTTGTCTCTCTCTTTGTTTCTCTCTCTCGTGTCTCTCTCAGTCTCTCACTATCTCTCTGTCTCTCTCAGTCTCTCTCTGTCTGTCTGTCCCACATAGGCAGACTCTAGCTCCCATGATAACCAGAAAAAAGTACCATACTTCTGTTGCAGAGTATAGATGTATCTCTTTGAATGATGTGTGCTTTCCTCTGTCACTACATAATTGCAGAATAGAATGCACACCTCATATTTTGGAGCTTAATTAAAGCATTTTTAGTATAGCTCATCAATGATAGGAGATCCCCCCCACCCAAAAATGCCCATGACACTGCCAGATGCAAGACCTTTCCAATGAGGTATAAATCGTGTCTCTATGTCAATCGGTTATTGCGTGATTGTTGGATACACTGATACACAGACAGACACTTTGTTTTTATTATTATTGATTTTGCAAAGTGCTTTGAGACATCCTCCTGACACCAATGAAAGATTATTTATTAATATTTTATCATCTAAGAACGACATTCATTAAATTGGGGGTTAGGGGCTGAATGATACAAACAGTTGCATGTTTTTTTTTACCTCTGAGGCATGGGGTGGCTGCCAAATTAGTCAAGAAAGATAGAATGAGAGCACTGTCTCTCTTGGTGAAATAAATGTGAATAGTTTTAGTATGTGAGAGACTAGACCACAATTTGCTGCTTATTTCGCACAAATCTTGGTCAGAGAGGCACAATATCTGAGAAATAGAAATGTTCCATTATCTACCAAGGGGTGCTCTCCTAAATTGAGGTAATTAAGGAGATTTACTCTGCAGCGGGATGAGCTGCACTGGCTCTGAGAGTGTTTGTGCGGATACTGGTGATCTGAAATAGAAAGTATTCCATTTCCCAGTGCTAATCCTACAAAGCACATAATAAACTTGCAAATGGAATTCAGTGCCAAATTTTTGTTGGTTAGATGGATTTCTCACACATACGGAAACACATTGCCATGCTTAAGTTTCTCCAACCCAGAGTGAGAGTTCCACATGCGTACGGTCCCTACAAATGGAAGTTTTCTTGTGTCTGGAATGGGAACGCAAACCTTTCATTGCATGCCCAGGGGCTCAGAACGATAAAGGAATATTGTTTGATCACGCACCTTTTCTGCCACAAGCTTAATCTGTATTGGGAGTTTGCTACTACTGAAGGGACCAAAGTCAGATGTGATGCAGCATATGTTACAATCTGCTTGCCTGTCTTTTAGATCAAAATTATTGTATAGTTCTCAGTGAACAGCATCACATTTAATCACAACCCTGGTTTAGAGAGTGAAATATGAACTGACATCAGCAGAGATACCCTATAATCATCGGCCAGGAACTTTGAAGAACTTGTCATTTCAATGGTGCTAGCTTCCCAGAAAGATGCAACATAATTTATATAATAACCTTTGCAGTTGATATTGGCCCTTATTTTGAAAACCATCTCAAAGGCTTCAAGGAGTTTTCTACAAAGTGTTGCTAACATTTGTTTTAGGCAAATGTGGCAGCCCTTTTGGCACAATAATGTCCACCAAAAGCTATAAAGTGAATGACACTATTTTTTATTCTGAGGAATTACTGACCAGGGCATCAAGAGAAAATCCCTTCTCTTTTTGAATAGTGCCATGGACTTGAACAGAAATCTCTGTTTAACGTCTCATCAAAGAACAACACCTCCAACTATGTAGAACTCCCCCAGCACTACACTCAAAAGCCACAATGAAGGACTTGAACTCACAACTTTCTGATTCAACAACAACAAGATAACATTTGTATAGCACCTTTCACATCGGGAGGACGTCCCAAAGTGCTGGATATTGTACAGCATTTCAGACTTGAGCTGGGGTCAGGGGTGAGAAGGGAGGGTAGGGGAAGGGGGGTGATGGCATAATCGAAGAGGAGGGTTTTGAGGTGGGACTTCAAAGAGGCTAAGGAGGGGGCAAGGCAAAGTGATTGGGGGATGGAATTCCAGAGGTTGGGGGCAGAGTGGTTGAAGTCTCTCCCGCCAATGGTGGGACAGGTGGCTCGGGGGACGTGGAGCAGGCCAGAGCTGGCTGAGTGGAGGGAACGGGCAGGTTGGTAGGGGTTAGGAGGTCGCAGAGGTAGGGTGGGGCGAGGCCATGTAGGGCTTTGTAGATGAGGACCAGGATCTTGAACTAGATCCTCTGAAGGATAGGGAGCCAATGGAATCGGGCGAGAATGGGGAGATGGGGTCACGGAGTTTGGTGACACAGGCTGCAGAGTTCTGGATTATCTGCAGCCTGTGGAGGGAGGAATTGGGAAGGCTGACAAGCAGGTCGTTTGCATAGTTGAGCCTGGAGGTGATGAAGGCATGAACACGAGTTTCAGCGGCCTGAGGGGTGAGGTAATGGCGGAGTCGGGTGATGTTACAGAGGTGAGGGAAGCCAGAGCGGGTCACGGCTTGGATGTGGGGAAGAAAAGGCAGTTGAGGGTCGAACAAGACACCTAGGTTCCTGACTGGCTTGGTGATTCAGAGATGGGGTACAACAAAAATGAGCCAGGATGATATTACAGCATTTTTTTTTGGTGGGGGGGGGGGGCGGGGGGAGAGAAAGAAAGTCATCAGAAAGATTAAGTAAAATTATGATAAGAAGGTTGATATACATTCTTTGTTTCAAATTAGAATTGAAACCATTCTGTGTACATCAGAACGACATAACATTCAACCACAGCTCACAACGCTCAACCTTATTCACAGCCACAGTTAAACAGATCTGCATCAGATGATCTGAACCACACTTTGTTGTGCATAGTTCAGAGAATAGTAAAATAATTCACTGGACCGCTTTACTTTTAAAGTCACATTTGAAGCTCACCTGAAGTGTCAGGAACATCTGAATGATTGATGGTGGTATCCTGGCTCGTGGACGTGACAGAGCATCTTCCAGTTTCACGTTTAGTGTAATAACATTCCTGAAATGCAGGAGAGCTATCTGGCGGACAGTTGGCTCTTTCCCCTGCAACATTAATTATTAGCATCAGGGAGATGAATTTGGAAAGGTCACTTTCAGATTATTGCCAAGACATTAACAGTTTACATGCACTTTTGAAGAACGATAAACAGGGTAGGGCCACTGCGTGACTCTCCCATAGACCTGAGGCCTCTGCGATGCTTCTGAGTGCGTGCCTAACCTCTGCTAAGCGCTTGCACCAGTCTCGGCAGAGATTGGGTCCACCAGCTCAGATGATACCATTTGGCTCACGAATATACTGCCCTATGATTTATCACCAAACAAATATAATCTGAATCCTGAGCAGAGAATGTTACAATTTCTGTTCATCTCCCAGCATGTATCAATCATACAAATGCATACAAATGGCGCACTTCAATTGATGCCAGTTTCTCTCTTTTTTATTACATGAGATGATAGAACATTCCTCAGGAAAACTATAGAATACACACTTGCTCTCCGATTTTGGATCTCTGTACTTTATTGAGCGACATCTATTGTTTTTATGTGTGAGGAGGACAATAGACGTCCTTTACAAATTCCTGCCACTCATCAGTCACAATATAATTTGCACTTTCAGATTAATTTCTGCACACCCTTCAAGCAAAGTATAAAACCACAATGTTTCAAACACTAATCCATTGTTCTTCTGACTTTTTTTTTGGAAGTGGACATTTTATGAAGCAAAATACAAAATATTGAAGATGCTAGAAATCTGAAACAAAAACAGAAGTCGCTGGGAACGCTCAACATTGCAACATAGAGGTGTTAATACTGCAGAGTATTAACACAGTATTAGCAAAGGGGGTGGTGGGGGGGGGGGAGAGATTTCTCTGGTCTGCCTATTTTGTTGCAATCTTTTATTCCCCTGCTTTGTTGCAACCCCCCACTTTGTTTTCATCATTAACACCCCTTTAACTCATTATCCCCTGCCCTCTACCCCATTTTCTCCTTTGTCTTCCTTGCCCTGCCTCCCCCCTCTCTGTTAGCCCTTAAAAGCCTCTGCCTCGCAACATGCCCCAATCCTGATGAAGGGTCGTGGACCCGAAACGTTGACTCACTTTCCTTTCTCCATAGATGTTGCCTGACCTGCTGAGTATTCCCAGTGACTTCTGTTCTTGTTTCATTTTATGAGATAGTTGCCCTTAATAACCCAGGAAAGGGAATCATTAATTAAGGTCAAACTATATTTTCTTTCCCCATACGAACATAAAATATTTTGATTTTTGCAAAATATTCATCTCTCTCATTTTCTTTATATATTAAAAATTGATCATTCCGCAACGCACACAAAAACATCTCACTTTGCCACTATGCCTTTTTGATATTGTTCATTTTTGATTTCATTAGCATTCAGGGCATATTTTGTTACGTGTGTGTGTGTGTGGGGGGTGGGGGGGGGGGTAGAGAACGACAGATGTTGGTTACTAAGTGCCCAAGCAGACATTTTGATAAAATGGCTGTCCTTGAAGTTGTCCATTCAAGAAGTTCAGCAATACTTAATGAATAATACAACTTGCGCCTTTCATGTAGGATGAACGTCTCAAAGTGCTCCACAGAGATGATGGGGAGCAGGGAGAAAAGGAAGGAGGACTTAAGATTATTAACCAAAGGCTTAGGCAAAAAAGACATTGAAGATGGGAAAGACAAGAACAACATGAAGGAATTTAGGAGAGTTCTAGAAGGCAAGGCAAATTGGCTGAAGGTTTGACCACTTATAATCAACTGGAAAGAGTGCAAAACAAGCCATAAACTAGAGTAGAAAGGGTGGAGGGCATGGAAGTTGGGTTGGAGGAGATGATAGGGAAGGGAAAAGTATAACTTTGTATTAGTTGGAGCTGGTGGAGGTGGGGAGACCCCAGGGAATTGCAGAGGTCTAACCTCAAACAGAAATTAGCAAAAAGGTTAAAAGTTATCTCAATAAAAAACAACAGCTTACCTGAACAGGACAAAATATAGCCTGGAGCATAGGCAAGATGTTGCAAAAGAAAAAGTCCCAAATTTCTGCCAATGTATCAAGTAATTTCTGCCCTGTAAACACAATAAACACAATCTTAGAAAAATAGCTCATTCATTCTCATTCGTCATAAGCTGCTCAGTTAAACGATTTTCTGTGAATTGACTTTGTCAGATAAATTGCCACAACCTGTATCATTTTAAATAATATTTACACCGATTCAAGCATAGCTGAGGTTTTGTTGTCTTCTAATGGGAACGTATCAATGCTTTGAGACAACCTCACAAAGGGAAAGGTGCTGTATAAGTGTCAAGTGTAGTATTTTTTCAGCCTTGAGAGAAGACTACTCAAGGGACCTCATAGAGGTGTATAAAATTTTAATTAGGATAGAAAAATTAAACCCTGACAGTAGAACAAGAGGACATGAATTTAAAGTTGCAAAGGACAATATGAGGACAGATACCAGAATGCTTTTCTTAACTCAGAGGGAAATCAATGACTGGTTGGCAGGAAAGGTGGTTGAGGCCAGGACACTGCACTCATTTAAAATGCAGCTTGATGCTGTGGCTTTCTTCAACCAAACCAAGCTTGTAATCTTGTGACCTCTGTCCTGAACCAGAAAATGGATGCTCTTGGTTAGAGGTTTTTTCATGTTAAGTAAATAAAATGTACATGTATTGATTTGTTCCTCTCAGTTCACTGGCAGCTGTTATTGAGACAAAAATTTAGGTGTTTCTGCACTGAGAGTTATATAAAAGGAACCGGCAGGATTGCACTGGCACCCTCAACCAATGCTTGCCACCAGTTAAGAATAGCTAATGGAACTGTGAACTTTCAAGGAGTACACTGGAAAGCCCTAAAGTGAAATTTGAAAACTGTCTCCTTACCTTCATAAAACCGAATTTTATCCCTCAAAATCACCATGCCTTTTGTAAGCAGCTGAGTCTGAAAAAGGAAAAAAAAATTATAAATGTTAACCGATTATATAATTGTTCCACTAATTAGTTCACAGTCTACAGGAATTGAGGGACTGTCACTATTTCGTATAATCTTTCAAATTATTCCATTCAGAATTATTGGATCAAACAATTACTGCTGTGAAACAAAAAGTGCTTCATGGGAATATCACAGGATCACAAGATCGCTATGGATGAAGAAGGCCTTAGGCCCATCCAATCTCATCCATCCACAACCCTCCACTGTTGCTGTTGCTTCTAGTTGGTTGGTACCTCACCAGTTTTAATTGACTCCCTCATAATACCTGTTAGTATTATACCAAGCACAGCTACAGAACCACAAGAGCATTGCAATATTCGCAGCAACCTTAGGAAAAACAGATACACGACAATCCCAATTTTACAAGGAACATTGACATTTGAAATGAAGTGTGTTCCAAAGCATATTGTGAGATTTGAGTGCAGTGAAAAAACATTTGTGCTGTTACTAAACAGTGTCACCTTTCCCGAGAAGCCATGCCATTTCTTGTAAACACAAGAACTGAAACTAACCACAAAACTGCCCACAAAGACACAGAAATGCACCTTTAAAAGAACATTGTTTCAGTCTTAATGGCAACATTTTTGGTGACATCTGCAATGGTTCTGGAAAATTGAATAACATCAAGAAAGAACAGAAGGAATGATTTGCAGCTGAGTTGCATTCCAATGAGTGGTCAAACTAAAAAAAGTCTCTCTTTGAGAAGAAAAAATATACTGACCTGAAGATATTCTGTAAAAAACGATCCAAGCTCAGTTTTCAATAATTGCCTGTTTAAGAAGAAAATAAATATTCAAAATATAATCAAAAAGACACAGAAAGAATACAGATTTTATCTCACAGCAACCAACTTCTGTTGGCTGTTACAGAGCTCATTGATGAGGGCACCTCAACTTCATGCTCCTTTAAGGAAAATGAAAGCATAAATTAATGAATATATGAATAAAGCCCTTATAAGGCATTGAAGTAAAAATCATTATCATTCCAATTCATATTACTGTAAGCGGCACAGTAGTTCAAATAGCACAAAGTGGAGCCTGTGTGCTTTGTGTAAGCCTGTAAGACCCTGCCAGAATCATACTTCAAACTTCCAGTAACGCTAGTCCACAGGAGACCCATGTTATTCATAAATGCACAATCCAATGAGGACCCTTATAATGGAGTCATCCTTTACAAAGAAAAAGATTAAAAACAAGTAAAATTTGTCAGTTGAGAGTCTGACACATGATGAAACCCATGACCAAGTTTAATAAAATCTAAACAAGGTAGTGGGTTGTAGACATCACTGACAAAAGCAGTAACTACTTTTACCTATATTTATAAATTATGGAAAAAAGGGGACAGGAACCACAACAACAGCAACAAATTATATTTGCATATCACCTTTCACGTCAGGAGGACAGTCAGGGATCCGCACCTGAGCTGGTGGTTGGGATCAGGAGGGGTGGATGGGGGGAGGGGAGGGATAGGAGGGTCTTGAAATGGGTCTTGAAGGAGGCAAAGGAGGGGACAAGGAGAAGGGACGGTGGGATAGAATTCCACAGGGTGGGGACAGAGAGGCTGAAGCCCCGCCTGCCAATGGTGGGGCGAGCAAGATGGGGGACACAAAACTGGCCTGAGCCCGCTGAGCGGAGGGAGCAAACAAGTTGGTGTGGGGCTAGGAGGTCACAAAGGTAGGGAGGAGCAAGGCCGAGGAGGGCTTTGAAGGTGAGGACCAGGATCTTGAACTGTATCCTCTGAGTGATGGGGAGCCAGTGGAGCCAGGCGAGGATGGGGGTGATAGGGTCGCAGAGCCTGGTGCGGGACAGGACACCAGCTGAAGAGTTCTGGATGATCTTCAGCCTGTGGAGCGAGGAGTTGAGGAGGCTGACAAGAAGGAATTTGAGTAGTGAGCCTGGATATGATGAATGCGTGGATGAGGGTCACGGTGGCCTGCGGTGAGAGACAGTTGTGGAGCCGTGCGATGTTGTGGAGGTGTCAAAAGGTGAAGCGGGTCATGGCACGGATGAAGGACAGTTGAGGATTGAACAAGATGCTGAGGTTCTGTATTGGCTCCTTGAGGTGTAGAGTGCATCTATGAAGGGAGGTGCTGTCAGGGCCCGAAGTATGGAGACGCTGATGGGAGTCAAACAGGGGGGCCTTGTTGACAATCAAGTAGAGGAAGTTTGCTCTCATCCAGGACTTGATGTCCGCCAGGCAGTCTGTGAGGACTGCAGTGGTCCCGGAGTCGAGGGTGGAGGCGGAGAGTTAGAGATAGAGTTGGGTGTCATCCGTGTACATGTGGAAGTTGACCGCATGTCTCTGGATGATGTCACCAAGAGGAACATGCTAATCCAGTGTGATGTTCAACAATGATTTTGAAACCTTAAAAACAAAAAAATTCCCCCCAAAAAGATATTGACTGACCTCCCTGGCATTGTACTTTTATTCCTCTCCCTCATGTATGATATTACATATATATTATGTTCAGTCACTCTGTCCCCGCCCTCTGGAATTTCATCCCGCAGTCTTCAACCTCGCCCCCTCCCTTGCTTCCTTCAAAACCCATCTCCAGACCCTCCTCTTCGACCGTGCCTTCAATTACCCTCCTTCCCACCCTCCCCGATCCCGACCCCCAGATCGGGTCTGAAACACTGACTGTCCAACCCCTTGGGACGTCCTCCTGACATGAAAGGCGCTATACAAATGTAATTTTGTTGTTGTTATATAATTTTCTCCAACATTTCAAGAATTATTTTTAAAAGATGAAGCTTGACAATGGAGATGGTGATGAGGAGAAGGATACACCTCAACGCAGAGTTAAATCTTTGATCTAAATAAACTTAACAATGTACATCCAGATTTCATCCACAATATGAACAGTTAACAACATTACTGTTAATTATATTGGAATACATGGAAAACAAATATAATCACACAAACTGGTTGTAAACAGTGCCCTGAATACTATTCTGTTGAGGGAAAATATATTTTAGTACAAATGCTTTCCTGTATCTTACTCTCAGTAGGTCAAACAATTAATTAAAAAATTCTGTGTTAAATCCCCAATGATTCAACAGGTAAACATACTGTGTTGTGTCATGGTGAGTTACAGAGACCAGAAAGATTACATGTCCGATTGCTTGTTTATGCCGAGATAATTAATCTTAGCCAGAAATGCAAAATGGATGCTGCAATTGATCTCAGCATCTCCATCTAGAAAAAGGGTTAAAAAATAGCGAGGGGCCTTTTTTCTCATAGCTATATAATTGGAATGTCAATGAATGTGTGGTGGGAGAAGACAGGATCAGGCTCAGCTGAAAAAATCCACGTCTACTTGTCTACTGACAAACTTAAAAGAATGCCTGCGATTCACAGATGTCTCATACAAGGATCATCACCATCAGTTGCTGGTTTCAGAAAAAAAATTTGAACAGGATTAAAAAAAATCAGTATTCGAGACCAGAAAGGATGCTCATCAGTGCTGTTTCCATCGGAGCCATGAGCTGACAGGTCTTGTACTGTAGCTATTATCAGGAGAGCAGCTCCCAAGTGCACGCAGAGACTTGAAATATCAGGTCTCTGAGGAGAAAGGGAAACTTAAAACCACCAATATCGATTATTAAACACATGTATCAACTTTGCACATTACCAAATTGGGAAGATTATTTTATGATATCTTCCACATGCTTACTTTTTAAGGTCATATTATTTTGCATTTACCTAATCTCCAGACCTTATTGACTATGGTAATAAGTGAAAAAGTAATGCTTTTTGAGAATTCAGGAACTTAATCAGCATCCCACACTATAACAATAAACGTTTTTATCTTGTAGACACAGCAATGCTCGGTTCTCACTCACCTGACTCCCTCGTTGAGGTTATAAAGTTCATTATCGGGTAATCCTTTCCTCTGGAACACAGCAATTACAGCATTCTGTATGCTGGAAAACAAAGACAGATGCTGATCAGCATTAGTCTGTGTTCCACTGGATTAGTTTCATTTAGTCATGGGACCCTACAATTAGTACTGCTTGTTGGAGTGCTACAAGTGGTACATTTACATAAAGTAGACCCAGATTTATGCAGTTCTATTTGCACATTTTTAAAACCCATTTTCACTCTTTTCTACTCAAACTTTATGGGCTCTAATTAACATAAATTAAATTAATAGGAGCGGCTGAGACGTGGCTAATAGACTGCAAAATGTTAATAAAATTAGATTATTCTCCTGTTAAAAATAATTTGGTGGATTTTCTGAATTTGTGTAACAAGAATGCCTCTATGTTCATCTGAAAGAATCAGAACTTGCAAATTAGCATCTTAATTGTTTGACAAAGCCATCTTCACTGAATTTACTGGAGGTGTGGGAAGGAAAGTGAGAAAGTGTTCTGAAATGGATCGTTCTGAAATGGATTTGAAAAAACAATTCATGAAAACAAAATGCTTCCAGGAATACACTCTTCATATGGCTAGTAAAGGAAGTATTACAGAGAAGTGACCACTTGTACCACTGAGGAAAATGTATACGCATTGATATTATCCAGAAAGGCAATGAGTTGAACTGACACCACAACTGTCAAAGATTTGTAGCTCACTGATTGCAGACTTTATCAGTGAGTCGTGACCCCCTTGTTCATTATTTGCTCAGACAAATTCACCGATAGAAGCTATGTTTGTATCCAGTTGATGTGACCATGTCAGTTTTGCCTATTCTACCCCAAGATGGGGCTCCTTGGACAAAAAGGTAAATCAATTTTCTGAATCTGACTGCCAAGCAGTTTGCTCACATGGCATAGAGCATTTGGGACTAAAACTCCCACCCCAAGTTGGAAGAAATTATCTTGGGGCCCGTTTCATCAACTGCAAGCAACCAGAGGCATGAAATTTCACCCAGTCTTCCAACTTGTAAGACCATTTTGTCTTAAGATTGACCAGCAATGAATGTTTTTATGGCAATGGTTCACTTGAAGTTATAAGTTATTCTTCTTCAATCAAATCAGTTTTGCCAAAATATAGGTAGCTTAAGTATTTGCAATGAAATAATTAATAAATATATCAGAACAAAACTGGTGTAATTACTATTTTTGTAAAACAAAACTTTCTAATTTGTCAAAGAGATGAAACTGCACATCAAAAGATGTGAATCTTCAAAGTTCTTTTTCTTATCTTTTTAACTTTTTAGAGGTATCCTTTACATGAGTTTCTGGGACGATTACTGATAGTAATTAGTCCCATTGCTACCGTATCTTTCATGGTACACCACCAATGGCTCTGTGATGCCCACATGGTGACCAATCTAATAAATCTAAAAAGCACTACTTAACAGGGCTGTGCTCAGAACTTTGATCCACTTCCAATTGACTACGATTGAGATATGTAAGGACTCAGTTGGAAATTACTTATGTGTCAGTCAATCATGCGCATAATTTCAATAATTATTTTGATAAATATATTGTTTTGCAAAGAAACTTTTGTGAACAAGTTCACAAAATATTGAGTTGGATAAAAATGGCTCATTTGATCGCATCCTTCTTGGATACCTACTCTATCATCACTGATTTTTTAAAAAGGGCCCAGTGTACTGGCTTGGTGAGCTATGTCACCCTGGCAAGTTCTATTCCGTCCATGGAGTACGGATGTTTCTTATTCTTGCTTCCTATATGCAGTACCTTGCCTTTATCTGTATTAAATTTAATTTAATAATTTGCCACACGTGAGCCCACGTTTATACCCCATCAAGCTATCTTTGTAACACCTTTAGTGCCTCCTCTGATTCCACAGTTCCCATAAACTTGGTTTTCATCTGCAACTAGGTCATTAATAGATACAAAGAAAGGATTCTAGTACAGAGTTCCAGTACAGACCCCTGCTTAATAACACCCCCCATCCCAATTTGGCATTGCTCCTCCAACAATGATCCTCTGCTTCCTTCCCTTCAGTTAATTCTGAATCTGCCTTTGACACCCAGTGAACTCAGGTGGTAAAGGAGCCTTTTATGTGGTAATTTGTCAAATGCCTTTTGCAAGTCTCAATATTGCACGTCATATGGCATCCTGGCATATAGGTGTCAGCCTGACTCAGTTACTAGCACTCTCGTTTCTGAATCCGAAGGTTGTGGGTTCAAGCCCCATGTCGAACTTGGAACCTATATAGTCAAGGCTGACACTCACATCCAGTTATGTGGGTATGCTGCATTGTTGGAGATCCTGTTCTTCAGATGAGACATTAAACCAATGTCCCATCTGCCTGTTTAGGTGAACATTAAAGATTCCATGGCACAGATTTCAAGAAAAGGGAGTTTCTCCCAGTGTCCTGGCCATTGATTGCTAAAATTGGTTATTCATTTCATGAATGCTTGTGGGACATTCCTATGCGCAAATTGGCTGCCGCAGACCCTTAAACATATATGCACCTCCTAGACTGTACAGTGAATCCTGTGAATTGCTTTGAGATGTCCTCCAAACATGATAAGGCACAATACAATACTGTATATCTCAAAACATACAATACACAATATATCAAATGCAACTTTTTTTTATTATCCTACAGTGAATTTGGGATATGACCTCTTCAAAAACACTATGAGGAAGGGGGATAGATGGGGCAGTGGGGGACAAAGAGAGTGACAGGAGCTAAGAGGGGAGATGAGATTCAGAGAGTGAGGCATGCCTGAGGAAGAGAGCGCTTAAAGGGCAATATACAGTCAATTAACTTTACAGTATGTGAAGCGCTTTGAGACGGTTTGCAGACTTGATAAGGCGTTATATCAAATGCAAGGATTATTATCATTATTGAGGCCGGGGGGAGGGATCTGAGAGGCTGAGGGGGACTGACATGAGAGCTGACAGGCAAGGGAGCTAAGAGGGCAATGGGGAGACTGAGAAGTCAAGGGGAATTGAGAGGACATGTGTGCTTTTGATCATCAGTGTACCTATGACCATAATTTATTTTGGTAGGGAAGGAAGGGGGTTTGAGCTAAATCAGTAACTATTTGTCACCGTTACGACAGGGGAGAGTAATTAGCGAGCACCCAGCTTTCAGAATCAAAGTGAAGCGTAGTGTAAAAAAGGTCTTTTTAACTAACGTGGCTTTGTTTATAATTTAGAAAAAAAAGTTGCATTTAAATTAAATAGCATTTGGCCAGCAGTAGCGATGGAGGTGTTGGATGTGAGAGTCATGGGTAGCGGACTCCTCACAGCGCAGGTCCCACACCGTGTGTCTGTCCTCGGTCCCCTCCTCTTCACCCTCTATATGCTCCACCTTGGTGACATCATCCGCAGACATGGGGTTAACTTCCACATTTATGTGGATGACACCCAACTCTACCTTTCCTCCTCTACCCTCAACTCCACGACCACCGATGTCCTGACAGCCTGCCTGTCCGACATCGAGTCCTGGACGAGAGACAACTTTCTTCAGCTCAATGTGCGCAAAACTGAGGCCCTCCTGATTGGCTCGCGTCAGCGCCTCCGTACCTCAGGCGCTGACAGCATCAGCATCCAAGGCTGCACTCTCCACCTCTCAAAGCCAGTCAGGAACCTCGGCGTTCTGTTCGACCCTGAGCTGTCCTTTCTTCCTCATATCCGCGCCACAACTGGCACCACCTTCCATCACCTCCGAAAAATTGCCAGACTACGGCACTACTATGGGAACTCTCTCCTCGCCGGCCTTCCCGACACCTCCCTCCACAAGCTGCAGGTCATTCAGAACTCTGCAGCTCGTGTACTGTCCCGCACCAGGCTTAGCGACCACATCACTCCCACCCTCGCTCGCCTCCACTGGCTCCCCATTCCCCAGAGGATCGAATTCAAGATCCTCATCCTCACCTACAAGGCCATTCACGGCCTTGCTCCCTCTTACCTCTCCGACCTACTATACCCCTACCTACCTGCCCGTACCCTCTGTTCCTCTGGCTCCGGTCTGCTCCACATCCCCCGCCCTAACCACCCTACCATCGGTGGCCGAGCCTTCAGCCTCTCAGCCCCTAGGCTCTGGAACTCCATCCCCCAGTGCATTCGCCGCCTCCTCCCTTTCCTCCTTCAAGGCCGGTCTCAAGACCTTTCTCTTTGACCGTGCCTTCAGCTCCCTTCTCAACTCTCTACCCCCTCCTCGCTCCCCCCCTTCCCTCCTCTCACCCTGACCATTTCCCCCCTGCTCGGGTCCTGTCCCAACTATCCAGCACCTTGGGACGTCCTCCCGACGTGAAAGGCGATCTATAAATGAAATCTTGTTGTTGTTGTTGTGTGTCCGCGGCCTGAGCCTTTACCTGTTCCAAGTGGCGTTGGCACCTGCACGTCGCTGCTGGTTGCCTCGCTCCTCCAAGGCTGCCTGCTCGTTCTTCCCCAGCTCGCTGAGGCTGGGCGAACTCATTAACTTCGGTCTGCGGAAAGTCCTCATCGTTAACCCACACAATAAAGCACACACAAAACACGGCTGTTTGTGGAATGAAAGTCTCTACAGAGTGTGACCGCATGTTCAAAATACCGCTCTGCGTCATGAAACCCAACTCTTAAAGTTGGCTTTAAAATACAACAACATCATAAATTACGGTTAATATTTCACTAGTTGTTTATACATAATAAAACAAACTAACGTGACCTTGATCAACTACAATGTGTCAAGTGTAGAGTGCAAACTGACATGACTAAGCTGACGGGTGGAGTTAGGGGAACAAGGGTTGAGGAAAGTCACACACGAAAATCCACAAACACTGCTATCCAGCGGATTTGTCGGCTGTATATCGGAAAATACTACTGTCAAAGATATAACTCGGTACTTTTGTGAAGAATTTTAGGAAAACAAATCTAGGCTAATGAACAAAGTTTTTGAAATAGTGTCAGATGTTTTAATTATATTCCAAAATATATTTCCTTGGCACAGTTTTTTTGATATTGTGCTGAATATCTTTTGACCGTACACACTGAGAGCCTGTAACTGTCAAATAGATGCAAATTCTTAATATAATTAAGGTTTCAATGGGTAACGTGTTTAAAAAGAATCATAAGTTTCATATTAGTGGAAAACAAACAAGAATACACACAGTGCTGTATTTCACATTTTAAAACATAAAGACGCATTTTCATTCCACAGCACCTTTACTCATCGGTGGAAACAATTAAGGATAATTGGATATTTAAGCAGAAAAAGGATCCAGGTACAGAATTTAAATTAAAGCCACTTACCATTCAGTACAGCAATAAGAGCATTACAGAACATGGAATGAAGAAAAGGTTGTATTCCTTCAAATGACTACTTACAGAGGATCCCACCCTTTGGATACATTACTGCAATGCTTATAACATGGGTCTCATGTTGACCCATGTCCTTCCACAAATTACGTGCAGAATCAATGTAGGGCTGCCATGCTTACCTGGCATACCATGCAACCTATACAGTACACCAGACTGGTAGCTCTGACAAGCCAGCTTCCTTCCCATGCTAAAAAAAATCAACTTCTGGGTCATCAAGTTAATATTGCTTCCCTTGCTTTACATGCATGCACTATACAAGAAAAGCTGCTGACATAATTTCATGAAAGAATATGATTTGTTGATTCGGTGTGTTCTTCAGCTGCATTATTTTGGGCCTTGATGACCATCAGATAATTCAAGATGGCATTTACTCTCCTAGCTTTCTCCTTTTTCGGAGGTGATGGCATTGGTATTCTCCTTGGGGAGCAGGTAAATGGGGTCTCCCTGGAGCTGAACTGGCTCCAAGGTGACACGTTTTGTGATGGAATGTTGGAATTGAGCCAGCCCTCTGTGACGGTCTCTCGTCCAGTTCCTGAGCCAGGCGGGTTCGCAGTACTCCAGGCTTTTGGCTCGGGCTAACCTGCGCCTAATACTTTCTGGAATTAGGTAAGCAGGGAGAGAGTGGGTATTCCATTCCAACAATCTATCTCTGGAATTAGGTGCGATGCCTAAAATTCTCAGTTTGGTTTGATACTCTTAAGCATGGTGATAGGTTTCTGCTTGTGTCAAGACACCTGGCTGATAAAAAAAAACAGCTGCTATAAGAACAACAAAAAAAAATGGAGATTGCATGAGAATTTTGCAGTAAAAACATACGGAAAAAGCTGCCAGCACAGTTCTCCAACGTTTCAAATGAAAAGTTTGTGTTCCATCTAGAGGACCTACCTACACGATTGAGAACTTTTAATCACCTTATTGTTTTATTAATCATTCTTAAAATTGCTCCATTCCTGGAATTCCCTGTGCTTTACATGAGTCATTAGTATATCACCAAGCTATTGTTAATCTTTGATTCATATACAGTACTTTAAATGTCAACCCATCCTGAGTCAGAAAAAGCAAGAAACTGAACATTAAGAGATTGCAATATTCAAATTTAAAATTTTCCCTTTGCCAGGAATATGCAAAATATTCTGGCTTTTCCTGAGAAACTGTAGAAACAAATGTAGCAGTAAACTGGTCAAAAATATATAACACTGTAATAATAGAGTAACAAGGAGTATTTTCACTACTTTTGGCAATTAATGTCACGTTTCATAACAGATTTATCAACTAAGAGCCTGGCTGAAGTGAAAGAGATAAGGGAGGTTTGGTATTGAAAGCCTGAAGATGAAAATGATGAGGCCAGTTTCAGATTTTATTATTTTAACATGTGCTTGGGTGATGAAAGAGGCTCCTTCAGCAAAGTTAAAAAAAAACAAAGTAACCAACCATGCCGTCCAACAAACCCTTTGGTGAAGTTAATACTTCATCCTGACCATAGACTTAGACCAATACTTTGACCGTTTTTCGACTGTACCCATTTAATTAACGAGTTAAGAAGAAGCTTCAACCTATTTATTAAAAAGTAAAAACTTACAAAATGTGTGACAAAATCGCATTGTCCGTGATACACAGTGCAAACAATGGTAAAAAAAGTGTAAATAATGGGATAATATACAGCGAATAGTGTTCCAATTTAGAATCATAGAAATTCACCGCACAGAAGAAGGCCATTTGGCCCATTGTGTCTGTCGTGGCTCCTTTAAAGAGCAATACTTTCAGTTCCATTGATCTGCTCCTTCCCCATACCTCTGTAGTTTACTTCTCGTTACATATTTATCTTGATCCTTTTTGAGAGCTAATGCCTCAACCATCACTTCCAGCATCCTAGGACACTCCATATCCTAACTGCTCTGTGTGATACATTTGCTTGTTTGCTAACAATTTTAAATGGATACCACCTTGTCACTCACTGACCAGTGGAAATATTTTTTTCCTAATGATTATCAAAATCCCTCATAATTTTTAAAAAACCTCTATCAGGTCACCCCTCAACCTTTTTTGTTCCAACAGAAAAAGTCCCAGTTCCTCCAGTCTCTGCTCATAGGCCAAACCACTTAACCCTGGTATCATCCATGTGAATTTCCTTTGTACCCCTCTAATGCTTTGATATCTTTCTGAAAGTGGGTTGATCAAAACTGAACACAATATTCTTACTGTGGACTAACTAATGATTTGTATAAATGTATCACTAAATCTTCAGATTTATATTCTATACCCCTATTAATAACACCTCTGACTGCATTTGCTTTCTTGGCAGTTTTGTTCACCTGCCTACATTAACACCCATTAACATCTATTCTTCCGCTCCTTTTAATATTTTACCACGTAACATATATTTGCTCTTCTTGTTCTTCCTCCTAAAATGTACAACCTCACATTTGTCTGCATTAAATTTCACTTGCCATTGCTCTGTCCAATCAACTAATCTAAAGTTGCTTACAGTCTTTATTGTCAGCTGCACTATTTTTGTGTCATCTGCAACCTTAGAATTCGTGCCCCTTATTGCGGAATCCAGATCATTTCTATAAATGGAGAAAAGCAGTCCTAACACAACCCCATAGGGGGCACCTCCATTGCAAGTAACAACTTTGTACTCCCACCCTCTGTTTCTAATCCTTTAATCAACCCTGCTGCTACCTTTCCATTAATATCCTGCGACCTCATTTTTTTAGCAAGTCTCCTATGCAGATCCAAGGACGTTCAAAAAATTGTAGTCACAGCATCTATTTCCTCCCTGAACAATCTCAGATGAATGTCATCAGGCCCCAGTGATCTGTCTTCTTTGTATTCCATTAATTTCTTTAACACCACTTCCTTTTCTATAGTTGTCCCTTCTAATCACTGCACATCCTCCTCTTGTACACTTAGTGGCTCACTACCACTCACTTTCTTTAAAAACTAAAATCGTTAAGATCTCTGCCATATCTTCATTTTCTGTGACTAGATTTATCTTTTCGCTTCTAATTGGCCCTACCTTTTCTTTCACTATTCCTTTGTGTTTTATGTTTATGAAATCCTTTATTATTTTTCTTTTTGACCCCTGTCTGTCTTTCCTCATATCCCCTCTTGCCCTTTTGAATCTCCTTTTTTGCTTTTCTTCTACATTTTCCATACTATTATCTTTCATATTATTAACTTTACATTTCCTGCATGTCTCAGTTTGAGTTATATTTTCATTTTCATTTCTCTACTCATTCCAGACACTTTGATCACTTGAGAAATTACGAAGTGGACAAAATGCTGTTGAACACTGAATACCAACAAGAAGTTATATATATCGCCTTTCACGCAGGGTAGAGTCCCAGAGCGCTTGACAGTGGTGGAGCACGATACTGAACCTGAAGTTTTTATAGTCCACAATTCACCAGCATTTATGGACTGCAGTCTCCACTGTTTCTCCCCACTATGTAATGCTCTCTGAGTCTAAATTCCAGTCTCTAACATCTGTTCTTCTAACACTGGTCTATTGCTTGTTCCCCCACTCGATTCACTGGAAGTCAAATCTCAGCCATCATGTCACCCTCCTCTGAAACTATCTTCCAAATCTATTTTGTATGGCTACTTCTCCTTGCCTTCATAAACGTAAAAGCATATCTGCCATTGTGCCTTTGATCAAAATCTTTAAATTTCTTATTTACCTAGTATATGTGCACAATTACCTTTGTCAAGCAATTTGAATTTTTTTTATGTGAAAGGCAAAATATAAGGCAAATTGAAGGAAGGATGTGGTTCCTTGCATTTTACTGCTAAGTTAAATTAAATTCTCATTTATGATTCGGTTTAGGTAGTGTAGTGCAGAAAACACAATACAATTTACATTTATATAGCTCTGTTCACATTAAGAGAACTTTTCAATGTGCTTAAATAGAAATAGAAATATTCTTGCAGTGGAAGATGCTGTTCTGAAGTTTTGGTTCAATAAGCATTATTGGCAGAATGCATTTTTCCAAAACTCTTTTAGCAGTTTATAGCGTGAGCTCTTCTCACTTTTTATTTATCAAGAATTCATCAATAAAATCAAAAAAAATCTTTTGTTAGGTGGCAGGGAGCGGGATGGAGGAGTTAAGGGAAATGAAACAACAAT